TTGTAGCGGCCGAGGAGCGGTGCGTGAGAGGCAGCCCCGGCGGTCTGCCCGGTGTTGGCCGAGTTTAACTGCACGTCTTAAAAACCCAACTCGCGTTTTTAACTTCGTAGTTTCCTTTCCGAACGCGGACGGTGGTGTGAGTTGTTCTCTCCTTTTTCCGTTGGTCTCTTCAACGTTTTTCAGGGGGACGTCTGATTACAACGTGCTACTTCGTAGAAAAGCAAACCAGCTTTGTCAGTCGGTGCGTGAGGAAAGAGCAAAAAAAAAGAGCCAGAGCTGGTGAACTGAGGTCAATGGAAACGCATGCTGAATGAAGCTTTGCAGTAATTTTGGCTCTGCTTAAGGACAATAAACAGGAGTTGCTCTGATAAGATTGTCCGATGTCACGTGCTTGCTGCACCATTGAATATCTAATTAATGATCAATCTGGTGTACAGCTAGTCAATAAATAGTAAGAGCTTTACCTATAGCATGTTGCCAAGTTCCCCTAGTTTCCATGCACTTCTTTGCCAGCACCATTATTTCATTTTGTTTGTAAACATAAAGATTTGTATTCAGTAGACTATTACTCTCACATGTATCTTCTTTTTCCTAACAATCACCCAGCTTCCTTCAAGGACTAAGCGTCTAACTCTGTTCAGTTTACTAACCTGTGTTTGTGGTAACTTTTTGGTTTAGGTTTTGCAGGAAGTGCTTCTTGACGGCTATAAGAGAAAGTGGAACACATTGTCCTCTCTGCCGGGGGAGCGTGACTAAAAAAGAAAGAACGTATCCCAAAAGGGCTCTAGATGTTGAAAACAATATGAAGAGAGCTTCTGGGGGCTGTAGATGCTGTGAGAAGCAGGTAGAGTAAAACTTTAAAAAAAGTTGAATACATTTCTTTCTTGTTCCTGACCAGACACACTTCTACCATGTATCATTCTTGTCTTGGAGTTAAAGAGTCTCTAGCACTTGGAACTTGGCTTGTGCACGTACTAGGCTTCCAGTGCCTGCTAGGTATACCTAACACATGTAAAACTGAAGGAGGATCTTGAACTGTCTTTGAAGGCATTTTATGTGGAGTGCCAGTTTTCTCCCCCCACATATGGGAAAAACTGGATTGAGCTATAAAACTGGCAGAAGAAAAGTTTGGGAGATGAACATGAAAGTTGCAGATATATGGATAATCTCAGAAACTTTCAGTATGGAAATAGAAGTGCTTAAAGCTTCTATAAAATATAATTTAAAACCAAAAAATGTGGGTTGTTTATTTTCAGTACTCATGCAGTCACATGTAATTTCCTCCTTTCTCATCAGTCTTTTTACATTCCCTTCATTTCCTTTGTAAAGGGGTCATTATTTTTGAAACATTGGGTGAAATCTTGACACCCCCCCCTCACTGAAACCAAGAGTAACCTCTCTTCTGGTATAAATGGATGTAGGATTTCAGCCACACATTTTGTTGGTAATAAATTGCATCAAATCCAGGTAGTCTTCATGTTTGTTTCCTTTTACTTGGGACTTATTTCTGCCATTGTGAAGATCAGCACTAGTGGAAACCTGAGCTGCTTGCTTTGTTCCACATGATTCATTAGGATGAAAAGCAGAGATAAACTAGTAGCAAGCTGGTAAACTGGAAGGAAGAACCAAACAGATCCCCAGAAGAACTTTAATGGAATTTAGGCACAGGCATGTGAGATATGATTTTGTTCAGCCTCGAAACCTGTGAACACCTTTTAACAGTGCTGTTGGACCGGAAATTCTGATTTAGGACATGTCCAACACTGCTGTCTTCTGACAAATCTAAGCAACTCATTGTCTTATCCTGGATTTAAGGCAGCTTTAAGTCGGTGTTCATTCACCTATTTTTTTACCCTCCCCTGTCAAAGGGAAAAGGAACACACCTAATGCAAGAAAAACATTTGCTCTGTACACAGTAACAGCAGGCCAGAGAAGACTGAAGGAGCAGTGGTGCTTATCCCACCCTCATGGCCCCTCTCTGTTGTAGCTCATCAGCTGTTGATCCTGGATATGGGAGATGTAGTTCCAGTGGCTTTTTTTCAGTTAAGTGGCATTTAGTCGCATCTTTCACCCCTGAGAGAGCTCTCAGATGCCCATCGGTTTGGGGAGTGGCAGTGTTCTCCAGTCTCACGGAGTGACAGAGGCTCTAAGGAAAGAGGAATTCAAGAAGTTCTGTTGGTGAAGAAAGTATTCATGCCCAGAGGGGAGACCCAAGTTCTGGTTTCTGCTGCATATGATGTCTATATAATTCCTGCATGCATTGCTTTCTGTTGGCAGAATTACCTCTTCCTTCTGTCTCTGGATTTACTAGTATGATTTCAGTAATTTGGCATTTCATTTTCAGGTTAGATTTTCGTGGATGAGACAGCATTATAAAACCTGTAAGAAGTATCAGGATGAATATGGTGTTTCTTCTATTATTCCAAAATTAGAGATTTCCCAAGATCCAACAGGGAACAGGTAATCAGGGTGTTCTGTGTATAACAATGCACCTTCTTCTTTCCCCAACTACTCTCCCCACAGAAAGTACTTTTTTTTTCCAGGGCATTCCTTCTTTTTGCAATAATTATTGTCCATATTTTTGTGTTTCAAAATATGAGTTTTTCCAGGTATTTTTCTTTACTCGTAGCATACAGAAGAAACCCTTTCTGCATGATGGTTTGGATGTCTTCTAGAGACTCTCCTAAAAAAAGTATTTAGTATTTGTAGCTTGCTTTCCTTGCCGTGACAGCATTTGAGCAGCTTACTTTGTAACGTATTTCATAATATTTACCTCTAGGGAATTTCCCTTCTGTTTTTATCCCACTCACACCCTTTTCCTAAGGTTGTTTTAGTGAGTATGCTGTTTCAAAACATCACTGTGCAAGCTTTTGCTTTCTGATTGAATTTATTTTGGACTGGTCTCTTATGAAATGTATAAGAAACTCCAGTATGTTACACACCATAAAATCAAGCTACACTTACCATTTGTTTTCAGGCAGTAAACTGAAAGAACTTTCTTGTTCGTACATTCTCACTGATATATTTGGTTTGGTTGGGGATTTTTGCTTATTTTAGAAGACCTATTCTTACATATTAGTTTCTCAGAGCTTTGTCATATATAGCTTGTCCTTAAATTGCTTTATTTTGACATCAATTTTCTGTTTTTAGCAGTCTGAACTGCTCTGTGTTTGGTTTTCAACCCATCAGTATATCGAAAGTGGAACTTTAAGCTGTTACCAGAATTAGCTGCAGTAATGTTTCACTCAAGTGTCTGGATATCTGTTATATCATTATTTATTGAGTCTGCCACAGTATGGTACCTGTGCTCACAATATTACAGAAGTGTAACGAAAATGTACCATGACCATATTTGTGACTGTAAATATTTGTGTTCTTAGTGCAATCAGCATGTCTGAACAGTTTCTTCTGGCTTAGCTAGAGGTGCATATATGGCCAAATTTGCTTTCTAAAATGTTCCTCTGTTACTCTTACTTTAGGAAATAAGTTTGTTTTGTGTTCAGCATAGGAAAACTTACCTTGCTATAGTTGAAAGTTGCAAATTATTTATGTAAGCACGTGACAGTCAAAGGCCTATTTACATAGTCCTAAGTCAAAAACCTTAGGAAGTGCCACCTGTCATACATTAATACAGGTTATAATGCTCTTTGAGTTACTTGGCTGCCATCTCCTTTACCATTCTTGTTGGCTAAATGTTTATTGTAACATATGCTGTTGTCCTGTAAAGTTGTGTAGTGTTCCACCAAGGGTCATTGTGGTAACTAATTTAACTGGAGAAGTCACAGTCAACAGGAAATTATTAAATGTGACAGTCACTTGCAAGAGGGCTTAGAAGGGTGATCCAGGGAATGACAGGCCTGTCAGCCTGATCTAGGTACCAGGGAAGGTCATGGAGCAGATCATCTTGGGTGCCATCATGAGGCATGTGCAGGACAACCAGGGGATGAGGCCCAGCCGGTATAGATTTAGGAAAGGCGGGTCCTGCTTGACCAACTTGGTCTCCTATGAAAATGTGACTCGCTTAGTAGATGAGGGAAAACCTGTAGATGTTGCCTGTCTAGACAGCTGTAAAGCGTTTGACACAGTCTCCCACAGCATTCTCCTGGAGCAGCCCATGGCTTGGACAAGTATACACTCTTTGCTGGGTTAAAAACTTGGCTGGATATCTGGGCCCGGAGAGTGATGGTGAATGGTGATTGCATTCAGTGTCCAGTCATGCGTCAAAGCTCAGTATTGGGGCCAGTCCTGTTTGATGCCTTTATCAGTGATTTGGATGTGGAGATTGAGTGCATCCTCAGTAAGTTTGCAGATGACACCAAGTTAGGTGTGAGTGTTGATCTGCTGGAGTGTAGGAAGGCGCTGCAGAGAGACTTTGACAGATTAGATTGATGGGTGGAGGACAACTGCATGAGGCTCGTTGGGATCCTTGCGAGGGACGGACTACAGCACACCATTATGATGCTCTGATAGCCAACTTTATTTAGGGCACCTAACTATATAGTAAAATGTCTCCCGTACATGCAGCTACGCGCTGATCACACAACTTTAGATTGGTTGGTCAGCCTGCCAATGCGTACAATTCTTACTTAAGATAGGTTACAAGTTTAAGCTGCATCCCACTCTCACATCCTGGGAAACTGATAACAAGAACATGAGAACCTAAACAACAGTGCTATTCCCAGCTTGTTAGCAAGATGACTTATCTATAAGGCAGTAAAACCAAAACTAAACCTAAAAACCCTGGCAGCAGGAGAGAGCAAGACCATTATAAGGTGTTGCATTGAAGACACAGGAATGCATGAAGATAAAAACAAGGTCAGCAAGACCTATTTTGTGTGTCTTGTTTTTAATTGCTTAAGCATTCCTTTAAC